GCGCAGGAGACAGATCAACAAGATGCTCTGTGAGTTATTTTCGCTCTTTAGGAAAACATGTACATGCATTACTGTCAAAGACTGCTACAAATTGACAGCATATCCCCTAATCTGTTGCATCAATGCCAAGACATGTTCCCAAAGATAAAGGGACGTGAGGAAAGCACAGAGCTAACAATGCCAAAGGATTGTCAATTCTTTGTATGGATCATTTGTATTCTAGAGGGAGTCAATAAAGCTGTGGGGCTGGATAAGGATTCATGTAGCTTACAATGTTAGCACAGTTCTTACAGTAAACAGTCAATTTACCTCACTGTAAATATATTTTTAATTTTCTGTACAAGGAGTTTCATTCTAGATTTATATATTCATCATAAAACCACATGTAACAAAAATAAAAAGGTGGTGTTGAATGAAACCACTGAGAGTCATGACAACATGGAACCTTATGTTAACTGCAAAGGTCAGAGCTATAATGGTTTTTTCCACATTGTCAGGAAGCCCATTTTCACAGCCATATCATAAAATCGAAATCTGACGGCATCTTGTACTTTGATTAAGTTAACACAAATGTCAGACAAGTACAAGCGTCAACCTCAAGGTTAGAAGCCAATGCTTAAAAGCGTTGAAACCTTCAACATTTAAAATGGCTGACAGGGTGATTCCACTTGCAAAAATAAGCCAAATGTATAGAAGTGAATAGGAAATAAACCTACTGGTTTCATTAACTAGTTCAATGTCTTCTACAATACAGCCTGATGTTCATTTCAGTTTATGGGTCAGTCACGATACACTCAATGTGTTTAAACCCACATAACTATATTTAAACTCTGAAGATAGTGTTTCAAAAAATACCAAATATGTCAGGCTTCATTTTATGACGTATAAATCATTTGGGACATTTCGTCTTTGATTTGATTACTTTACTGGTATGAGCATCAGTGTAATTACAAGGATGAGCTGGAACAAGACGATACAGAATATAAATGTGAAACTGTCAAGGACAATAAATCATTATCCCAATTTTTCAGATTTACTTGAAAAAGTGAAACTACTATTTGTTAAGGGTAAAGTAGAAAAAACTCACAAACTCTGTTTTGGAAAAGAGAACAAAAAAAAGTGTGAAATGTTTGCCACTCTCACATTTATAAATATCTCTCACTGTGTGGAAAGCCACCAAGCTTTCAATACAGTCAGTTATCTTGATGCCATATGGCCACTAACAGCCTGCTGTACCTCCTTCAGTGAGAGCACTCTGAGAGGATTAGCCATGGATTATTAAAAGACAAATGTAATAAGTGCTTTAAGAACTACCTCTGCTGCTCAGAGTGACACATTCAGATCATGATTACCATAACGTTTGAACACCTGTGTAGTTTCACCTGTAGTTTTAGGCAATATCAAAGAAAGTTAATGAGATTGTTTTGTTCATCCCATTTCATCAGTTGAAAGTAAATGATAAGATCTTCTATGTTTTTTTTTAATCGGTAACAAGAAAAAGCGTTTAACCTGCAAACAACAAAACAATCTTTTTAAACAGCCTCACTCTCTCTGGTTTGCTCCTGTAGCGATCGTGGTGGCGGTGTTTGGAGTCTGCTGGGCTCCATTCCACATCGAGAGACTCCTCTGGAGTTCCATCAGCCAGTGGACCGATTTGATGCACAACATTTATCAGTACGTCCACATCCTCTCGGGCGTCTTCTTTTATCTCAGCTCTGCAGTCAACCCCATCATCTACAGTCTGCTGTCCACACGGTTCAGGGAGTGTTTCCGAGAACTCGTTTGCTCCCAGACGGAGGAAAACAGCTCTGTCAGAGACTCGCCACCATTCCCTAAGATCTTACTGGAACCCTCTGTCTCAAGTGCCAGAGCCCAGGTTGAGGATAAGGACTCCAACGCTTTCATTCCTTTGCTGTTTCCTAACATGAAACTGAGCATGGACACTACAATCCTCAAAAATGCATGTAGAGAGAAGACCTGTAAAACCTCTGTGTTCTAATTGAGGCTTTATTTAAATGACCTAACAAGCAGTAGACAAGCTATTGTTTGACATGTTTGGCAAATGATTATCCTCTTCTTGTAAGTTAAATAAGAAGATTGATAACACTAACATATGTTTAATATGTATCTTTGTTGTGGCTCGACAGTTATGTTATGTTAAGTCTTGTGTTTTTGATCTTGTCACTTCCTGTTTTTATTTTGAAAGTAATCATTCCCTCTCATTCCAGATCCCACACTTCCTGCCTTTGTGTGTTTCCCGCCCTTGAGATTGCTTGGCCCTGCCCTGATAGTTTTCACCTGTGCTCATCCCCCTCACCTATAAATAGCCCTTGTGTTTCTTTGTCCCTTGTCAGTTCGTTATGTTCCATGCCGTGAGAACCTGGGCCCTTTGACTCCTGAACTTTATATTGAGAAAGTACCTTTTGTCAAGTGAGTTTTGATTTTAGGAAAACCTTTTTTCCCACTGGATATGTGATTTTGTTAGAGAAAATAAAAAAATGTCCACGTGAAGTGTGACTTAGTATCCGTTATAAACTACTTTCTGTTTTTTGACAACTTTCTCCGAGTCCTGCATTTGGGTCCTGTGTCCTGTGCCTCAGTTCACGACAATCACGACAATCTTAGCTTAATAAAAAAAACTAAAAGCAACTAGCCTGGCTCTGTCCTGAGATACCAAAAGCCACCCACTAATTGGTATTAAGCTCACAGATTGACACATTCTACATCTCATTTGTTTAATCTTTACAAAATAATAAAATGGTTATCATGAGCCATTGTGGTTATTCATATATATTTTGTTACATGCTAAATATATAACAAAAGATATGTACAATATTTGTCACACATATCGCTCCTTTAACTCAATACTGTAGCTACTAGCATTCAACTTTACAAGACTAGCTAGCAAAACTAGTGTACTTAGTTTCACTCCTAAAAGTCACCTTACTGAAGCTAAAGTTGCCTTTCTTAAAGTTTTTTCGTGTTAAAGTTGTGGTGTAAGGGTACCAAAAAAGATGATTTACATTTTAGATGTGCTCTTAAACAAAGAGATATAATATGTTAATAATTCAGATTTGAAGGGCGCTGAAAGTTATTTCTTTCTTTTTACTTTTGGACAGAGCCAGGCTAGCAGTGTTTTGTCTTTATGCTAAGCTAAACCAAGCTAACTTCAGAAGGTATTGATCTTGGCAAGTGAGAGAGTATTTTTCCCAAATGTAAAACTGCTAATTTAAACTACTTACGCCGCTCAAGAGCTTGTATGTGAACTTTGATTTTGTTGGTTTGTGACGATGGATAATATTGTTCAATAGTGCCTGCATATTTCACCTGCTGTCTTATTCTTTAACTCATGTATGCCTTAGAATGGAATTTGAAAGTGGGACAGTCAAATCCTCTCCGAACGAAACAATGTTGTATTTGTTTTTTTGTTATTTGTAAATTAACGTGTTGCTGGGCTTCACAAAGAGTTAATATACTTATCTGTGTTCCAGTGAAACTTGTTAACAAAGAATTAAATACTTTACTGCGAGCTTTTCCTGATCTTGTTTTGCCTTTTGCATTGTGTTCATGAATTGATTTGCCAGCTCTTGTTCACTGTGATTGCAAAGTATAAGAACTGATTATGGCTATTGTGCAATGGCTGACTTAAGAAAAATAAATGTTGAAAGCAAAAATGTTTTTTACCTATTTGTTATCAATTATATTTTGTTATAATACTGAAACATGAATGCAGCATTTTATTCGTCATCATGGTTGCATTGTGAAGGTTGCTTTTCTGAAAGCTTAAAAGCCTCATATTACATCCAAAATAACAAGCCTTAACAATAGCAGCAGATCACCTCAAAGTATCCTTTGCATGTTGGTGCAGTTTTGTTTCAGTATGACTTACAATACTGCATGACCCATGACTTAATTTTAACTCTTACAATGCATCAGAATTAATCTGTGGCCCGTGACAACATTGCATTACATAGCTGAATTGCTGTTTCAATATTTCCATCCACAGCTGGATGAAATGGAAATAGTAGGTTCATTTCTCAGCATTCCCCTAATTTCGCTCGTTGCACCTGGTGCTCCAAGCCTAAGCAACATTTTCATATTCCATTTCCATCCAACACACAATCTAATATAAAAGGTTAAACATCAGCCTTGGCTTTATGATTGTTATTTTTGCACACTTGGATACACCTGCAGCAGAGCAGTGTATTATTCATACTGGAGTTAGAGGTTGGGACTTCGGACAAATTAGAACCCATTTCTAAGGGTTAAACGGCAAGAAGTCACACCTGCACCAAAAGCCTCTCTGTCCCTAGTCACCTCTCATTGTGGAACCAAAATCATTTTCATGAATAATTCATTCAGATCAATCATTTAATAGGCAGCTCTCTACCTGTACTGTGGCAACATCCGCATTTAAATAACGTGATGCATTTTCATGAATACGATCTAGCTGCAGAGTTCATAGTGACAAAGAAATGAAATATGTGTTCCCCTTGCCAACAGAGTGTGAATATGTATGTGCTTGGTGTTAGGGTTTTTAGAAATAGCAATCATAGTTCAATAATTGAAAAGGATGTCTATGTTGATATTCATATACATGACCAGAACAGGAGTTTGTTGAGAGCCAGAGTTCTGCTTTTCTCTTTCATTCAAATTCAAGGACAGAAAAGACCAAGACAATGTTACAGTGGTTTGACAGAAGGCAGGAAAAACAAATGCATATATCACAATAAAGTGAATGTTCAGTTGGGATCCATAATGAAGGACAGTCATATACATAATTTCTCAGAGAAAGCATATATTTCCCTAGCAAGACATTATTCATTATGCCGTCCCTCTCTGTGCTCTTTGTTTATCAAGAGCACAATCCTATCTTTGTCCACCCAATTGATACCAACTTTTCCATTTAGTCTTTTAGTATTTACACCTCTTTTTGTTTACAACACCTGACATGTCCCAAGGACATACCAGTTGTCTTTAGGTCGAAGCATCACTGCAGTTCAGCTCGAGAAAGTCGGTCTGCGGGCTATTCTTACCACATTATACGTGTTAAGTCCTGGTGCATCGAAGCCAGGGGACAAACCACGCTTGTCAAATATGTAGAAGTTAAAAAGCTGGCCATCTTGGGCTTCCAGGGACACTGAGGCTGTGCCTACTTGCAAAACACAAGGGTACTCTTTTTCAAAAACAACTCTGAACACCCGGTCCACCAGGTAGTTCAGCTTTATTGTCCTGTACTTCTCTGGGATCAGCTCTTCAATTTGAGGCCCAAACTGTTGCATGATCAGAACGCCGTCTGGCCCGACTTTGATCTCATAGAAGGTGATGTTGCTGTAGGTGAAAAAGCCGATGTAAGGTTCTGGTTTTGGCGGAGGATTAAGGACCTTCGTAGCATCCCTAAAGGCTCTTTCTATAGCTGGTATGATGTAGGAGTAGGCCTTAGTGACCAGGTCCTGCTTCTCAGACCGGCTACCAGCCATTAACACCACCAGACCGAGCTTCAGTTTTGACACCAGGGAGAAGGTGGCAGAGTACCCGTCCAGATCACCATCTTTACGAACCATCTCGTAGCCCATGAACTCATTCACTTCCCATGGCGTCCCAGTACGGTTGGCAAAGTAGTCCTTTTCGCACCTGAAGAGGGGGGTCAGCATGATCTTCAATGAGTCTGGCTCTAGCATCTTGCGGTGATATGCGCCCAGCAGCATCATAGCGAGCTTGGCCATGTCTGCAGCAGTGGAAAACATCTGACCTGAGGGCCGGTACCAGCCCAGGTCGTAGAGCGGCGCCGGCTTCCCGTTGGAGTACACTCCCACGGCCACCTGGCTCTGGAGCCCTGGGGTGATGTCGAAGCCAGTGTCCTCCATACCCAGCCGATCCAGGATGTTGTCTGTGATCCAGCGCTGGTAGTCCACGGCAGCCACTCGCTCGGCCATCACATGAGCCAACAGTGAGAAGGCGAGGTTGCTGTAATGACATCTGTAAAGAAGCAAAAGAATGAAAGAAGAAGCTGGTTATTGATGGAGGAAGTAAGAGTAACAAACTATTTGGTAAGTATCTTGATTAAATAATTAATTGTTTTCTTTTGTTTGTAATTCTGCTTATTAGCATTAATGAGATGGTTGATACAACTCTTCTATATGGTTAAACATGAAGCTGCAGCAGCTGCTTAGCTTATTTTAGAGTAAAGCTCTGTCTTTTAACATCTGCCTATTAGCGGTTCTAAAGCTCAATAATAACACTGAAATGTAACAATGTTAATGTAAAAAGGTTGACGATTTACATGGCTGAAAACACCTCCAGATTGGTTGTCATCAGGAGGTTGTCAGGTTGAAACAGAAAATTAGCTTCAAACTAACTCTGTTTTTTTTACATCAAATTGGACCAAAACGCAGGACAAAACAGGCAAAAGGAAATTGAAAATGTAGCTTCTTTTTTTTTGAGTGGACCGCAGTTTCAGAAGATGTGGGGCCATGAGAAGCTGAGCTGGGCTATAAACTCTTAAGGGGTGTGGCTTTATAGGCAAGTAGAGCCAGGTAGGGCAGGATCACTTTTTTTTGAGGTGCTTCAAGGTCTAGAGACTATACGTTCAGCTCCCCTGTTGTTCAAACCTCTGGCGACCTCAGGAACTTAGGAATACAGTGGCATGGTGGATATCAACTTTAAAAGAACAGAGCCATTGCTTGAACCAGTTGGGAGATAAATGTTTTTTGGCAACCCGAGCAAAGGCATGTTCAGATATCGACACAGACCATGATATGAGTGGCTGCTTCCATTAGCTGCAGTCTGGTAAAAGCAAAAACATCCGGTGGAACATCAGACCAATTTTTTGCCCTGCATTTTGGAGAAAAGGCTGCTTTGCATTAAAAGTATTTTTCCCAAAAACGACAGAGACAACTGTGACATCTTCTCTGGTTTCCTTTTGAAAGTGAAGTGTCTTAATGAACAGTCCGTGTGTCAGCACCAGCACAGAGCCAATCCCTCTCTTGCTCAATACTATTCACAGCTTTACCAGCAGGACACACACCCCACTAGTGACCTCTTGTCCCACATGAAAGGCACTTTGCATCCTTAACAGGGCACTCATGCCATCGGGTTTGTATCAGTGGGAGCTTTTTGGAGTTTTGCTCTGACCGCTGTCTGGCTGTGCTGATTTTTCTTACAGTTATGATGCGTTTTGGCTTTTCCTTTTTGATGTGAGCCTTTAAACACTGTCCACAGAACTGGCATCTATCTGCTTAGCAATACTTTCTTCACTCTATAGTAGGTTTTGCTGCTTATTCATCTCTTCTAAATTATGTATTTTCCATGTCTAGATTTTCTTCCATTAGCATGCATTCTGAGAACCGTATATTAGCCAGTCCTATCACAATCCTGTCCCTGATAAGCTTGATATGCATCATCAGTGCTGAGCTAATGTGTGTGTTGACTGGTGAAAAATACATCCACAGTCTCAAATGCTTTTTGCTTCCAAACGTGCAGGTTTGTAAGCAATGCACATTTCATTACAAAAAAAGCCATTCCTCGTTGAAGGGTATTGTTACTGGTCTGCATCACTGAGTTTCAAGCTTCAGTAAACATCATCAGCTTGGTCTCCAATACAATAAATCACTGAATTCACCTGATTCTCTTTGGAGCTGGCTGTAACGCTGCTTGATAAGTAGAAACTATTGAATCTCTGTATCCATTTAGCCCACTTGTGCAGCACATACAAATAAAAGGGCCCCTTTGGCTCAATGTGTAACATTGCGTTGAATACTACAACGGTAAACAAAGTGTTCAACTCAATCCAGTCTTAACAAAAAGCCTGAGGTTTTCAGTCTTGACAGAGCTAGACTGATACAAATAAAAGAAGAAAAGAACCCACCAGCAAGATAAGGGAGTCACTGTTTTCTGGCTACAAAATGACCACCATGTCAATCCACAACATGTTGACATTTACACATAGAGAGACACAAGATTTTTGTTAATTAGTTAACTCTGGAATTATTGGTGAGTGCGTTTTCAAAAATTCTGACAGTGCCTGCTAGCGGTATACCCCTGATTCCAGTCTTTATGCTAAGCTAGGCTAATGTTTATGTTTACCATGCAGACTTTGACTGATGCATCAGTCTTCTTATCTAACTAGCAAATTTCACAAAATGTGAATGTGCCCTAAACAAACACAATTAGATGACAAGACGGATAAAATCACAATGTGCGCATAACATTAACTTCAGCCAGCAGGTGGTTAGCTTAGTCTAGCATAAAGACTGGAATTAGGGGAAACCACCAGCTGGCACTGTCAGAATTTCTCAAAATGCACTCACCAACGCCTCCAAAGTGAACTGCTGGCTGTAAGTTAATGTTTACTCAGCAGACTTTGAGAGTTGTATCGGTCTTGTCATCTAACTCTTGACAAGAGAGTGGTTAAGCTTATTTCACAAAATGTCAAACTTGTACCATAAACAAGCAGAGATTACACAATATGTTGCTGTCAACACAATGTATGTCTCTGCCCGGTCAAACACATGCACTTTTCATACAATTCATTATCCTAGTCTGCACAATTAAAATGTACATATTGATATACTGAAATTAACAAAGCATAACAAATCTTACTTAGTGCCTGGGTCTGCGACGAGGACATCATCTTGAAGCAGATTAATTGCAGTTTGTGTTTTTCCTTTCCAAAGCAGGCTTGTGGCCCGGAGTCTCCTGGGTAAGCCTGGATCAGCCCGTGACAGAAAATATAACAAATAAATTATGTTTTCTTCTATCTATCCTGCTCAAAGAAAACACATTTGATTTGTTCTGATGGTTATGGTCATGATGACTTTACGTGACAAATGCAGTTCTCAGAACGTTATTATGTTCAGGCTTGCTACCTGGATGATACACGGACACAGGTTGGGATACATAAAGATGATTATTTTTCCTTAGCCTAAATAAGATGAACAGACAGATGGGTTGGAAATTTGGAGAGATGATGACATGCAGCAATGTGCCACTGTTCGTATTCGTCAGTCACGGCCGCTACAGATGGGACTATGCCAATATTGAAAGATTTATAATTGTCTTGTCCTTGGAGTTTCTCTCATATTTTATTCATATTTATTTCAAAAATTGAAAGCCTCTTCAGATAAGCAAGTGCCTGTTTGTGAATGGCAACAGAAACTATTTTGCCGAGTCAATATATGGATGTAACTGCTGAAAGACTCCAGCAATAAAAGTACCTGAACAGCTCAGAAACCTAATGCTTAATTTCACATATCCGTTGCAATCTCTCAATACAAACTAGAAGATTGTTTCATGAGTGAGTATTAACATATGTTAAGAATATATACTATTATTATTATAGTTAGTTATAAGCAATTATTTTCTCAAATAGTTGATTGATTGCAAACTATTTTATATTCTATATGAAATGTTTGGCATAATGTGCTTAAATATGACCTTAACAATGATTAGAAAAGTTGCATGATCATTTTCTGTTAATTGACTGAATTATATAAATTATTTGGCTGATAGTTTTAGCTCTAAAATCAATAAACAAAAGCAAAATCTTTGATCCTCTTAAATAAGAAACTGCAACCTGGATGTTAACATTTAACAAGCTAAAAAAACAAACATATACCACAAGCCTCTTCTTCTTATTCGTCTTTTATTTAAATGTATTTTTTTATACAACTCTTAACTTTCATAGGTCAGCTCCTGAAGGTTTAGATGTGTCCAAACTAACTAAGACCTAAGGGACATACTATATACAATATGTGCATGCATATCAATGCCTTGTGTTATATCACAGAGGCTGGCTCTCTAACCCTTTGTATTTACCTGAGAGCTGGCTGGCCATCCTGCGCAGAGTGACTGAGGAGGAGCGGATCTGAACCTCCCCACTGTCAAGAAATATCAGACCGTCTGTCACGTACTTTAGCTCTGAGTCCCGCGACTTCCCCAGGGGGTTTTTGATGGTAAAGTTCTCCACGTATTTCTCCAGAGGGTCATCCAGGGAGCCAATCTTCCCGTCCTCCCACAGTTTGTACAGCATCAAGGTCGGGAAGATTTTGGATAGGCTTGCAATTCTGAAAAAGAGATAAAGGAGTAACGTGATTGTTTTTGTTATATCTGACAGAAAACATTTCTTTATATTTGGCACACAGCTTTTGTTTACTGCAAACTCTGAAAATGCAAAAAAATATTGTCTGCTACTTTTGCCATTGATACAGACACATACAAGTAGTTCAGTACAGGAGCAGACCAAGAATTGGTTACAAAAAAAATCGGTAACACTTTATATTAAGGTACACAAATTCACCATCAACTAGTTGTTAATTAACATGCATATTATCAGTATATTGGCTCTTTATTAGTCATTATAAAACACTTATTAATGCCTTATTCTGCATGACCATATTCTACAAGTAATAGGCCATTAGTTGAGAGTTTTTACTCAATAACCCTCTAATTAGTGCTTATTTATTGCAAGTAAGGAAGTTGTTGTACATGAGTTTTGGTCTTAATATGCTCTGCTCAATTTGGGCCTAATAAGGCAGTAGTACCACAAGAATAGTAATTATCCCATAATAACACTTAACAAATATGATCTATTCTTATTTAACAAGACATGAAACGATAAGTGTTAATTGTGTCTAAATAACTCAAAATTAGATATTTATATCTAAGAACATGTTCCCTATTTTAAAGTGAAGTCTTGTTCATAACCAATAAGCTACTGTAGTAGTTTGATATCGCTCAGTTATAATACTTATATGTCTGGAATCTGTGGAATCTCAGCTTGCTAATCGATATCTTGTTTGTGCAGATTTGATAAGTAATAAGGGTATTTTACCTTGAGTTCTGTGCTAATTGCGTTAGCATCTTTTCGCTCAGGGCTAATTCAGAGCCTTTGTTATTACCCTTTTGTTTAGTTTAGCTAAAAATTGTTAATATTGTCTGAAAGCTGAGTTTCTTCCCGTTAAGTGAGTATGACACATTCATAGTTTATTAAATGTTAAGAAGCCCTCAGCTGTTTCTTGCAAGATGTTGCGTTTTGCCCCCGCCCGCGTTAAGTGCCGTAACATTTTACTTAAGTACAGTATTTGAGTAAATGTACTTAGTTACATTCCACTACTGTGTATGACTAACTTTTACCATTTTATTTAACATATAGAAAGGGCTTTTGATTATTCATGCTCGATTTTTACTGTATTTTTTTGTGGCTGCTCATAGAGTGCCACAGTGACGCGTCCTAAATAAGTGTGATATTAAATAGTAAATCAAGAGCATAATCCGCCATTATTTGACTGTAATGAGCCAAAAGAACTTGGTACTTCAAAAAATACCCTGTTAAGTCAGATGGAGAAAATCTTTATTCTAAATTTTTCTTGGTTTAAATCTTGTACATTGTTAGACTTGGCTCTCGTTAAAGGAAACTATCACTTTCCCACAGATAAGTAATCCATCTTGAAATATTTACAATCAGTGCCTTCGATCTGTGCCTGCAAAAATTCCTCCAATCTGAGAGACAGGCTGGCTCATTCTGACACTAGAAACCACCAAACACTGTGTCCTGGTTTTCTTATAAACATAATAATCGAACACCGAGTACTTCACATGGGAGAATACACTTTAAAAGTCAATTATAAATGGCAGCAGCACACATGTTGTGCTTAAATGTCCCTGTTAAAGTCATTCACAGTCCGGCACTGTCCTTTTTTCCCTATAGAGGGTTTTTCATGTCGCTTTTCTTTTCTAGCACACTCTGAACATTAAACTAAGCCTCTTCAGCGTAATCATCAGGCGTCCAGGGGTAACATGATCCCTGTGATGCTCCGACATCAATTTCACATCAGTCAGGTCAGCTACTGTGCAGATATACACTGACTGAAGAATATTTATATCCAGAGCTTATGTGCCCATTACAGTGAATTAATGTGATGTAATAATGCTCATCCTATAATAAACACACCGCCTCCTCTGCAGCACAGGAAGAAGATGTTTCAGAATCAACTACAGAGTCCATTAAAGGAAAAATAAAAAAGGTAGCTACTGAGGACATCAAAGTCAGATGGAGATGTGGGTTTTTAGTGACTTTGAGGAGTTAACACTGAACACCAGATTTGATTCCTGGCAGCAGGAGGCTTAAACAGTAATTCTCGATAATTAAGCGGAATCACTTGAAGAGGCCTTATTATGATTTTAGGGGTGTTTCCCTTCCTGTAGTGTTACAGTATATGAGTGTTTGTGGATGATAATTGTCTGCCAATGCTAATATCCCAAAGTTTCTCTACACACTCCCCCAGGATGTGATAGGCTAAGGGGCGGGACATCTCTAATGGCGCATTTCCACTGCAGGGCCTCGCACGGCTTAGTACGGTATAGTTAGGCCTTGGTAGGCCAGGCTCACTTTATGCTGCGTTTCCATTACAGTTTAGGAACTGGGGCAGTAACTATAGTAACGCAGTGTAGGCGGAGCTGTGACGTCATCTTCAATGAGAACCCCAGAAAACCAACATCAGCCGTTAGCTGTTAGCACTCAGAGCTCACAGCTCCTCATATATGTTCAGAAACTAGACAAAAGTGAAACGAGTACAAACCACATACTGTCTGTGTCATGGTGAATACAGTCGCTGGTTTATTTATGTCTGTATAGGTCGTTGTTGTGAGTGTGGACGGTCGGAGCATATACTGCGTTAGCTTAGCCGATCTCCATTCAGAAAACACGCATTTTAAAAGGTTTTTCGCCTGCCGTCTGTCTGCAGACTTGTCAAAGCATTAATTCATGGTTTTTACTAACCGGTATCAGTATGTTGTTACTTCGGCATCATTTTGAAACGTGTATTACAATGAAATCACGGTAAAATATGTTCATTTTGTTGTAGTTGTATCCCCCTTGCCAGCGATTCTCTCACTAGTTTAGCATATTCAGCCCGGTTGTTGACCCGGAAAGAACCTCGATTTTGGAGGGCCAGAAAAACTGTGAAAAAGTACCCGTTAGCCGGAACTACCCCTAGTGGAAAAGCAACAAAAAACGGGCCGGATTTGGCACGGCACGCTTAAACCGTGCTACGCGCTGCAGTGGAAATGCGCCATAAGTGGCTGACTGCTCACAACAGAGCCGGCCAGCTAACCACTCTGGTTAGAGCTTTTTGAACATTAAAGCATGTAAACATGTCACAATAGAGGCACAAAATACAAATAGGAAGCTAAAAATGTGTATTTTATAACCTTTTAAAGTTTTCATCGGGTACCCACCTGTAAATTGTGTACTCATTTGGGGCACCTGAGAGAGGGTCACTGCTATTCCTTTTTCCAAAGTTACCAGTCCACAAAACAGTGTCGTTTAAGATCACGATGGCTGACAGTGAGGGAAGGCTGACAGGATTGACGGTCTGTCGAAGCAAAGCATCCACCTGGAAGAGACAGAGCAGGAAGTGAGGAGTTTATTCTGTAAAGGTATCCAGTTAAGATATATTTTTGGTTAGCTACTTATTACATTTTTTCAAAAGGAAGAAAGGCTAGTTGTTTCCCCCTGCTTCCATTCTTAATGCTAAGCTAACTGGCTGCTGTTTCATATACAGACACAAGAGTGGTATTCAGTTTTTCATGTTTACACATTATTTCTTAAACATAGCATTTAATGTTGGATAAACGGTGTAATATGGAGGGGCCCTGGAGAGATTACACTGTACATATAATATTAAGGAGGAGGCTTTTTTGAAAATAAAATATTAATCATAAACGCACAATGGGTGTCAAATCAAATCAAGTTTAATTGCTGCTACAAAGGGCGTCGGAACACTTAATTCAGTAATCACCTAAAACAATTAGACCTTCAGAATAAAAATAGTCTTACAAAGTGAGACATTTTTAAATGTTGAACTAAATGCTAGAATCTATAACATGGAAGCTTTAAAATGTAATTGTCAACCTACAGCTGTATTTACCACTAATATAGGTATTGGACTTTAGTGTGGCATTGATCACTTTTCTCTCCTTCATATGAAACAATAATACCAAATGAATTTGTCACCACCATCATCAATGGTTCTGTCATTATGTACACATATACTAACCTTTCCTGGATATCTAACAACAGTTATTGCCACTGTTCGATAAATGTTCACAAACTTCTCTGCTGGCACAAGCCTTGACGTTTCCTCCTGTTTAATGCTCAGACAGCTGGATGATGCTCCATAATGAATGAAACTATCCCCAGACATGTTGTGAATCACAGTGAATTTAATAACCAAATGTACTTCAATAACTTAAGAAAAGACTCCTAATTAAAGTATCTGCTGTGAAAAGATGTTAATGATTTGATTAAAAGTTCTCTGTAAAGTAATAAGTGTGACATTTCTTTAAGTTACATGATCCAGTAAGAGTGGTACAAGTTAAATCCTATTGTGTTTGCACATTGTGTTTGGCAGGACAGTTGTGGTGGAAATAAGTGAGTACAGCCATTTAAGTATCAAGAATGTACATTAAGGCTACAGTTCAACACAAATATTGAAAAGAGAGTAGACGCCTTTTGAAATGCGTTGCTACAGGAGGATCCTCGGGGTGACGTGTTTGGACATCAAAAGAGCCAACTGGTCGCTAGCAAACACCACCATGCATGGTGAGGTTGAGGGAAGAAGAGGTGCAGGAAGGCCGAGGGGAGAATGCCTGACGGACATTAAGAGCTGGGAGGGGAAGGAGGTGGTGGATAGCATGAGAATGGCGAAGAATCGGGATGTGTGGATGATGGCTGGTGATGTCATCGAAGTGCCCCGACGGCAACCGTGCTACGGGAGTGACCTGACCAGACCTGCATGTACAATTCTGAGGTAATTGTACTTGATTAAATGTTTTGCTACTCAGAGGGAAATGTGGTACCTTAAACTCCACTACATTTATATACAGAGGTGGAAGAAGTTTTCAGATAACTTAAGTATTGGCATCAAATTATACTTAAAGTTGCGAAAGTAAAAGTATTTGTTATGCCTAAAGGCCCATCACAGTATCATATGAAATATATCTATGATCAGAGGTGGAAGAAGTATTTAGATATTTTACTTGAGTAAAAGTAGCCATACATTAATGTCAAAATACTCCATTACAAGTAAAAGTACAGAAGTATTATCAGCAACATGTCAAAGTAAGTATAAAAAGTAAACATGTACTAATTCTGCGGTAAATGTATTCCATATGTGATATATCATTGTATATATGAATAATTACATATATTAGAAACATAAACATTTAGTCCACTTACATTTTCAGAGATTCATTATGTTACAAATGTATCACATGATTTTGAATGCAAAATCTGAAAAGTCACTCAAACTGGTTAAAACATGTATTCGAGTAGAATTACATAATTTCCCTTTTAAATGTACTGTAGTAAAAGTATAAATTAGCAATGGAAATCCTCAAGCTGTCATGATCTTAGTTTTTGTATTGAATGTTTCTTGTTTAATTTGAAATGCTTTATTTATTTAAAGGACACCTATCATGCTATATTTAAATGATATATTGTAGGGTCATACCTATATAAGGTATATTTATACGTTTCTGTTTTCAAAATACCAAACAGATCATGCATTTTAGCCATGCCTCATTTCGCTCAATTTGCTGTTCTCCAGCCCTCTTTTTGCAGGGGGCTGATTCTGTGAGCTGCAGCTGACCACGCCCCCCTGCAGGAGAGGGGAGCGTGCTCTGATCAAGTCAGAAGAGGGGGAGAAAAATAGATCTCCGTCCTCCGTGTTTAATTATATTATTATTAGGGCTGTCAGTCGATTAAAATATTTAATCGCGATTAATCGCATGATTGTCCATAGTTAATCGCAAATTAATCGCACATTTTTTATCTGTTCTAAATGTACCTTTGAGGGATATTTTTCAAGTTTTTAATACTCTTATCAACATATGAGTGGACAAATATGCTTTATATGTTTGTTTATTATCATTTGAACAATGACAAATATTCTCATGAATATTAAACACAACAACCTCTGAACATTACAAATATTCGCCTCAATTCAACCTGGAACCTCTCATACAATAATACAATACAAAGTGTGTGTGTGTGTGTGTGTGTGTGTGTGTGTGTGTGTGTGTGTGTGTGTGTGTGTGTGTGTGTGTGTGTGTGTGTGTGTGTGTGTGTGTGTGTGTGTGTGTGTGTGTGGAGACACTGTGATGGATCGTTGGAGCTATGTGCAGCTCAATGCATATATGCTCGAACGGGATCTGCCTGGACGCTGCAATCATGTTGCGCGCACTATCCGTGCTGAGTGTGCTGACTTTTCGTACAATGTCCCACTGTCTGGCTACCTGCATAAAGTCAAGTGCTCGGCGCAGTTGTCGGCGAAATGTCGCTCCTCTGTTTTCATTGAAACAGCTCCTTATATCCATTAGCGCAGCTAGCTAGCACCATATGCTAACAACAACAACACGTAAGGTGTGCCTCGCTCACGCCACACATACACACACCCTCCCGGTCCTCCCGATGGCCAGTCCGGGCCTGCCGGTGAGTGTGGAAGTGTGGTCTGCCACAAGCGGGCGGCAGGAGCTGGGCTGTCAGCATCAGCTTGTAGATGGTATTTTAAACTCGATGCGCTCTGAAACTACGGAGCGGCCGAGGACAAAAAATACACATGCGTTAATCGCGTTAAAATAATTAGTGGCGTTAATTTTTTTTTGCGTTAACGCGTTATTAACGCGTTAACTTGACAGCCCTAATTATTATATAGAGTCGTTATTCATTTGTTTTAAAGATCAATAAATAACAACGAAGACCTTTGACCGGCACTTTTCAAATTTTGTCCGGAAGATTTAAACTTTAACGGACATCTTGACCAGCGAAAGAAAACCTAACTGAAACTCTGCCGCACGGTCCCCTCGTTCCTTGGAAGAGGCGGAGAGGTGGGTGTTTGTCATCTGCTGGTGGACTAACCGGAGATAATTACAGCGCTTGCCTCGACGGAGAGGGATTGCATTGAATTACAGCAGCAGCAATCCCTCCCCGTCGAGGCAAGCACTGTAATTCTCTCCGGTTAGTCCACCAGCAGATGACAAACACCCACCTCTCCGCCTCGGGGAGGGAGAAAAGAAGCCACAGCGGAGAATAAACAGAAGGGGAACCATGGCAACCATGCGCGGGAAGTCTTCTTCGCTGCTTTTGTGGCAGACTACAGCGCCACTTACAGGCCTGGCATATGTACTACAGCGTCTCCAGCGCTTTCGAGCGGCAATGGCCGGCCGTGGCCCAACCCCACATTCCCCTGATAGGTGGAGAGTTGGCCCAATAGCCGTAGCGCCACCGTCCTGACGTCAGGACAGTGTTCAAATCTGGATCAGTTTTTATCAGATCCGTTGCAGCCCCTTTTTTAGAGATTTGGGTATGGAGGAAAATAGAGAGGGTTGTGTTTTCTGACACTTGGTGAGTTCCCTGGAACACCGGGGACACATATTCATGTATAAAAGACATACAAAAGTGCATTTTGCATGATAGGTCCCCTTTAATTAAAAGCTCGCTTTTGTTTATTTTTTGTTTGGGTCTTGATTTTCTTACTTTTAAAAACCAAGCTAATTGCTGCTATTTTGAAAAGTGATATTGAATGTTAAAACTAGAAGTTTAAGCACAAAGGAAAACTTATGTTGAAGACCAACCGAAGTATTTTTTGTATTTTTGATGACTGTTATTTGAACCATTCCATTTTGATAGTATGTTTTTTATATGAGTTATGTACTATGCAAAGTTCAGATGAAGAACTCATTGATTTCAGTATTGTGTTCACACCTTACAAGGTGTGAAAGGAGGGATTGTTAGAAATTAAAATCAATGTTTTATGGCATAATTTAGTCTAAAACATACCGTCAGTTTAAAAGCAGTTTTATGAAGAACTCATTGATTCCAGTATTGTGTTCACACCTTAAAAGGTGTGAAAGGAGGGATTGTTAGAAATTAAAATCAATGTTGATGTTGCGTAATTTGAATGAAATACACTGTACAGATGAAGCGTCTTATTTTGGACAGTTTAAAGTGCGAGGGTCGTGATCGGTTCATGCACGTTCCGTGATGGCCGGCCGGCCCCCAGTCAGACTTGATACCGCCCCCATGATAAATACATTTAATTATTGTGAAGCCAGCTGCAATGGATCATTGATCCACCAGGGGGTGCAGTGGGGTTCCACACTGGAGTCATGTGAAATCAACTTCTAAATAATAGATGTTGTTTAGTCGGAAAAAACGAACGAGCCGGCTCTCCCGATTTTTAATCCTAATTTAATCATCATCATTGATGTTTATGTTCGCCGAATTGACATGAAATCACTGACAAATATGAATATTCTGTATTCAACTTCATTGAAACGATCAGGATGGGTGTTATTTTTCCCCACAATGACCAAGTCGCTGCAAATGATCCCA